GCGCAGCTGGAAACACTTCCTGCAAGTCGAGCTGCCCGAGAGTCACAGAATTTACAGAAAATGTTATATTTTTGTGATTTATATCGTTATCGGACGATAGAATTCTTATATCGGGATATGAGATTTTGGTCATATCGCACAGCCCTAGTTGACAGTTGCCACAGTGTTCTTAGGTTTGAAAGCCTTTACCCAAATGTACCCTGGCAATTCTCAGTCCATGGCAATATCAAACTCAGTTCATTGTGGACAGTGACACTGTGTCTCTCTTCCACAGCATGTCTTTTATCCTGTCTTCCTTCTCCCACCCCAACCGGTTGCGGCAGATGGCCCCGCCCTTCCATGAGCCTGGTTCTGCTGGAGGTTTCTTCCTGTTAAAAGGGAGTTTTTCCTTCCCACTGTCGGCAAAGTGCTTGCTCATAGGGGGACATATGATTGTTGGGTTTTTCTCTGTATGTATTATTCTAGGGTCTAACTTACAATATAAAGCGCCTTTAGGTGACTGTTGTTATGAGTTGGCGCTATATAAAATCAATTGAATTGAATTGACACTGGCGTTCCAGCAGTTTACACTTATTCCTGAACATCTGAGGATGACAGTTTGAGTCTTCTTCCAGACTTTGGAAAAGTGGTGTGACATGAATAAACTGTTGATCTTGGACTCTGCAGTTGTTCAGAAATGGCTCTAAGAAACCTTCCCAGCTTATGTAAATCTACAGTTTCTTTGACTTTCCCATTATTCTGAATATTGGTCAGTACAATGATGAGTGCTGTCAAAAGCAATCTACCAGATGTAGTCAATCACAATCACTGAAGAAGTACACTGTGCATGTAAACATTTGACCACAACTGTATTTTTGGGGCCCTCCTAAGAGGTTTTGGCTTTCCACCGAAGAAAACCCATGAGGACTGTGCTAAAAACATTTTTTTTTTTTTTAGTAGGGGTTAATTTTTCTTTGGCTTAAATACAGTTTTCTGTAAAACATTGCCAAAAACAACAGGAAACTGCACAGACTTGTCCTTAGTAAGGTAATGCAGACTGTTTGCCTGAACTGTGTGTGGGCTAGTTTTGCTTTGGGGCATTGAACCTTCGATAGTCAAAGGAAAAAAAACATGTTGACAAAATAGTTAAATGGAGAAAAGGAGGTGTAATATAAACACTGGAGGAACTGAATGATCCTTTAAACCCATCAGAAAGGACGTGAACCTCTGGACCACGAACATGTGGAACGTCCCATGCTCGTGTTTACAGACTGTTCTTTTTTCCCTCTCCTCCAGCTGTCCCACAAACCCAGTAAGTGCTCTCCAGCTCAGATCCGCCGTCTGGCCTCTCAGGTGGACGGCACTCGCCTGTGGGAGGCTCACCTGCGGCCCATCCTGATAGAGCGCCTCCCAGGCACGCAGGGCAGCCTGTCTGTACAGCAGGTGGGTGTAAATATTTATAGCTTCCTCACTTTTACACATTCCCCCCTCATCATTAACTCCCTGCTCCACTTCAGCACATCACCTCCACCCTGTCCTCGCTGTCTGCTGGCTGGTCCATAGACCTGGACTCGTTCCAGTCCCCTACGCCTCGAGGCCAGGTCACTTTCGCCAACGTCGTGGCCACTCTGGACCCTTCGGCACCTCGACGGCTGCTCCTGGCCTGCCACTATGACTCCAAGGTGCTGCCTCCAGACCCGCGAGCCCCGGAGAAGGTGTTCCTGGGGGCCAGCGATTCTGCAGTGCCCTGCGCTATGATCCTGGAGCTCGCCACCTCTCTGGATGCCCAGCTTAGGTCATTCAAACAGCAGGTGGGTTTTGTGTTGGCTGAATTTAAGCAACAGACAAAGCAGATGCTGACAGATGTGGTTCCCGCTCACGATGAAAAGTAAAGGGCTGAGATGCTGACGAGAGTCTTTCTTATTGTGTTGTTTCATCCCTCTGCTTCTGAGGCCGCAGTACTGGGGAGAAAATGCTGACTCGAGCACTATCTCTCCAGAGGGCTGTGATTTATGTAGTTACCGTAGAAACACACACTGCAACAGCACTGCAGAAAGAGAAACTCAAGCCCTGCTTTTTTTTCCCCCTCACAAATTTGATTACCTCTGCTTTCTATGTTTTTCCTCTCAGAAACTTCCCGTAACTCTCCAGCTTGTGTTTTTCGACGGCGAGGAGTCATTTGAAGAATGGACCGCCACCGACTCACTGTACGGCTCGCGCCACCTGGCCGAGCGCATGGCCAACACGCCCCACCCGGCAACCTCCTCGCACGCCAGCATGCTTCAGGCACTGGTGAGGAAGCTGCAAGCAGAAATATGTTTCCTCTGTGGTCACACTTACTTCCTGAACCAGACGCGCTCCACGCTGTCCTTCAGTTTGCACAGCTTGAATCCAGCCACGCTTTGGTCAGTCAAATCTGAAAAAGTTTCCACCTCAGACTCAGCTTCATACTTACATCTACAGGCTCTTAAGGAGAATAATGAGCCTTTTTAAGTCAGTAAATATTCAAAATATGAAGGTAAAATGTGCATAAACTCATTTAAAAAACATTTTTGCACACAAAGGTCATGAGAAAGGATTATGAGAAGGTCAGGTGAGAGGGTCATGGAGTGACCCTTTGACTTACATTAACATTTAAATTACTCTGATTAAGACAAATGCCAGCTCCCGTCTCTCTAACTTCATCTCTGCAGGATCTCTTCGTGCTGCTCGACCTACTCGGTGGTCCCGATCCGCTGATTGCGAATCACTTCGATAACACTGCACGCTGGTTTGACCGCCTGATTGCTGCAGGTAAGCGTCCACCGTAACTCCTCCACCAATCCTTGAATCCCTCCTGAACACTTGTAGACCCGATCTCTGCCTCCTCCTCCAGAAAAGCGGCTCCATCGACAGGGTCTCCTGACGTCTCACCCCTCAGAGCAGACCTACTTCAGGAAGGATGTGTATCTCGGACCCGTGCAGGACGACCACATCCCCTTCCTTCACAAGGGTAGGTGGGAACCAGGAGTGTAGCCTGTATACCCACCCCCTGACCCCTGCAGCTGGAGGTCATCCCTCAGAGTTATTATAGTCGAAGCAAGCCACAAGACACTTCGATTAGGACTGCATCAGCGATGCTTTCCATGAACAAAGACACTGGCAGTCCTGCACTGGTGTATTTGAATGTTTCTTTGCCTCGTTCGTGTAATTACAGTCAATCCGCAAGGGTTAAAATTTAAGAAGTTCAAAACAGGTATTGAACCTTTTAAGCTCAGTACTGTAGCACATGTCTGCCTCCAGGGATTTATCTCCTTAAAGAAGAGAAGTCACTTTCTTTAACCCATGCTCAGTCATCATACCTGCCTTCGTGTCTCTGTACAGGCGTCCCCGTGCTGCATGTCATCGCCACTCCCTTCCCACAGTTCTGGCACACACTGGAGGACACGGAGGAGAACATGCACCGCCCGACGGTGGAGAACCTGACGAAGGTCATGGCTGTGTTTGTGGCGGAGTACCTGGGCCTCTGAGCGCTGAACATAGATAGCAACGGTCCGAACAGGACTGGCGATAAACAGCGACGTGAGGAAGAGGAGAGCCTGGTGAAATTAAATAAACTGGAATCTGAACTTTACCAAAGACGTGTATCTGCTGGGCAGTCCTCGGGTTCACGTGGACAACGAATTGGACACAGCTGAGCAAAGTGTGTGAAGTGGATGGTTAAAACTTTATTACTAATACACATGCTGGGGAGCATCATACCTGAGAAGCAGCTGGGAAATGTGTCTGTGACTCTATATTAATGTTTTTGTTCTGTTCCTGTGAAAGAAAAAAGCCTTATTAGCCTTATTGATGATTTAGCCTGTTAATAAGAGATGGAGATGCTCTTCGTCTTCTTGAGAGGGACCTGTTGTGCTCGTTTTCAGCTCCGAGATTTTTCTCTCAGACTCTGCTCAAGTAGTTTTGCATGATTTACTGATCACGTGCAGCCTGAAACAAGCCTCTCCTTTTAAACTGAGCTCATTTTGATTGGCTGCCCATCATAAATAATAGAATATCTGCTCTCAGTGACATCATTCAGAGCCAAGTGTAGAAAAAAAAACTGTGAAAAAGCATTAGAGCACTCTCAAGCTTGAGCTTTGGCCATATGTAATAGGAGCATCCACAACTGTAGCCGTTTATATATACATATGAAAGGAAACCAGCAAAAGCACGACGGGTCCCCCTTTAAGAACGACCTATGACGAGCGCTGCTGCTGAGGACGCTTTTCGTAGTTTATCTGTGAGTACCTTCTCCTGACTTTACCTTCACATCAGTGAAGATCCTCATGGCCTTGGCTGTTATGAAGTGCCAGCAAGATGAAAATCATGAAGATGAAGATGTTACTATGGTAAAAGATCACACCGCAGTGATTGTGAAATTATTTTATTCAGGTTCTCTTACAGTTTCAAGACATTTCAGGAAGTCGTAAACACTGAAAACGCTGTCTCCTGGTTCAGTGTGTAACCTTTGGGTATGATACATGTGGGTGCAGTTTACCAGCATGTACCCTTTAATAAAAATAATTCCCTGATCGTTATAAATGTTTTGATTTCATCTGTGAATGCAGTGTGGAGATGCACCTTTATGCCACACCTGTGATCCAGTCTGTTGGCTTTAATCTCCAGACGTCTGATGTCTGTCTTGTGTGATATTCTGTAAACGTTTAAGTCTCTGTAGGGGATCTGCTAGGTCTTGTTTTGGTAATAAACTTTCAATGACAACAGAAATTATGATGATCTATCAACCACTGGACAGCTTAAACATCTTGATGCCCTCCACATGTGTGGTGCAGTGGAGGAGGCAGTGGATGGAAAAGGGGTGGAGGTGGTTCGCTGCAGCACTGGGGACTGCCTGGAGGTGAAAGGTCGTTGTCAGATGATGGGTAGGCTTGTTCTGAAGGTCCTCGAGAGCCTGTCTGAAAACTGAAGGATCATGAGATTTAGAAAAAAAGTACAGATTAATGTCTTACTGTAGCCACAAGGTGGTGCTATTATGCAAAATTCAACGCGTGCGCCACAGTGATAAATTCTATTTACGGCATGCCAGATTAAAGTCTCCTTAAAGCGTTTTGTAGAAAGTAAAACCCAGTTAAATGCTTCGCTTCACATAGATGTTTTTTTTTCTAGTTTTAACAGGGGAAAAAATCGTTCAGCCATTTGCTTGTTTTTTTCTCACAACGTTGACTCGAAATTTCAGAATTATCAGTGAACCCTATCACTGTGCATGAAATACATATTAACTAAAATACCAGTTTCTTTAAACTGATATGTACTGCTTATGTAATTTAGTTTGGTGATAGAAAAAAAAGCTACTGGAAAAAAGGAGGAACTATTTTATGCCCGACTATAAGGTAAGAGAATCGAGTTAGCTTATGGTGGCAATGTTTTAAAATCACTCGGCGATTTTTTAAAAATCGGTTTCTTAACGAAAAGTATAAAATCAATGATTTCTGTAAAGACCCTATTCTATTCTATTTTAAGTAAAAGGTATGAGTAGGTGATTTTTTTTTAGTCATTAATTTAAATTATTACAGAAAGCACAAATCCCGATTTTTATTGCTTAATGCTATACGCCAACGGTTTGTTTATTCAGTGTATCCATTCGCTTTCTGTGGGCCACTGATGGCGCCTTCCATTAGCAGTCGCAATTTCCCTGTTCCCAGTCAGACGTTTCACCTGCACATACACTCAAGTCTAACCTCCAATTTGACAAATCAGAGAAACCCCAAACTACGATTTAGCGATCCAGGATGGCAGCAGTGCGCTTAAACATAAGTAAAACTGCGTTTTCTTTCCTGTTTTTCGTACGTCGCTCCCAGCTCCGACTTTCGAGGTAACTAGACGCGTTCATCACTTTTTATTATTAGTATTAGTTTACATGGGGGTTCTTTGAATGATAAGAGGACAGCAGTTCAGCTTACAGCGACCTGGTGCCCTTCACTGACCCGGTAAACTCCGCTATGCGGTCCCTCTGCCGGCGGTTCTTGAACCAGTTGCTGACCTGGATGGCGGTGAGGCCGGTGGCTGCTGCTAGCTCCCGCTTTTCTCGGGTGGAGGGATACGGCTTACGGTGGTACCACTGCCTGAGGATACTCCGAGATTTTTCCTGTTTGCAGTTAAATAAAATAAATAGTGAAATCTGGACATTATTATCAGAAGATATGTGAGCGATCCAGAAACTGTAATAGCATCTCTTATTAGCTGACGGGCCATGTGCATCTGTGTCAGGTCTTTTTCCTATTTCTTACACACATGACTTTTAGATACCTTCCTTCTACTGAGATTTGTTTTTGTCTCCACATTTTCAGTTTCCTCATTTTTTAAAGCACACATTGCACACCCTGCTGAGCTAAACCTTTCGACTAATTGCAAAACCCCCCCAAACCTTTTATGCCTGTCAAACTATTATCTTTGGCATTTCTCATAGACTGAACTAGATTGAAGTGCCTAAAGATACCCCTTACATGTAGACAGCACTGGTCCATCCTTGAGTTAGGTCAGTGTTAACTGGTTCCAAATAACTAACCATCCATTCTCTTCCACTTATCCTTGTCAGGGTAGCAGGAGGGCTGGAGCCTATCCCAGCTATCACAGAACAAGAGGCAGTTCACCCTGGACAATTTGCCTAACCCCACTAACTGCATGTCTTTGGACTATGGGAGGAAATCGGAGTACCCGGAGAGATGTTCAATCTCTTCTTGCTGTCAGGCAACAGTGCTAACCACCACGCCACCGTGCCGCCTTCTGAATAACTAACGAACACATTTTTTTAAAAAACAAAACCCATTCCTCTGAAAATATTTTTAATCCTTGTAGCTGACCTAAGTGAAACAGCAGCCAGTGTCCAAAGAAAGACTTTGAAAAAGCTTCAGAAAACCTAGAGAACGATTAGTCAAGACCACTTTAAAAATTACAAGTTCTACTCCTTAGAAGCAAAATATAAAGAAATTAGGATGGCTCGAGATTTGCATAGCACTGTATTTTAAGCCGAAATACAATGGCATAGATGCAGCATGCTCCATAGAAATGCTTAAATTAAGTATGTGAGTAAAATACCAAGTTACATCCCACTGGTCCTATAATGCTCTGAACCAATAGTTTAAGATTAATAATACTCTTTACTCACCAAAGCAGGGTGGGACAGTTTATATTTACATATAATTAGATTCATTACTATAAAAATACTTGAAAGATAATGTTTTATGCAAAGCACAAAAATATAAATTATGTATTTATACTATAGAGGTCACATACTGTATTAAAGATGCAGTATTCCTCAGATGTGATAGTACACGACTTGTACATAGTAGTATTAGTAGCCCACAAGTACACTATGCTCCACTTCAATCAGTGCCAGTACACTACTTGATTAAATGCAGCTCACACTTCAGTTACTTAAAAACATGCAGTTTTAGTGTTTGCCTACCTTGAAGCAGTAACTGGTCTCCTCTCCGTCCCAGATGGTGTTTGGTAGAGGAAATTTTCTCCTCACGCGGTACTTCCCCACAGCTCCCAGGGGTCGGCCCCTCTGCCTCTCCGCTTCTATGTAGTGGGCTTGCAGCCAGAGCTGCTGCAGGAGCGGGTGGCTGCGTGCAGAGAAGGGGAAGCCCTCCAGCAGGGTGTAGAGGTCTGAGAAGCGCCCTTGGTGAAAGGCCACCGCGGCTTTGGCTTTTAGCACGCTCTCAAGCTCCCCGGGGCACGAGGAGGAGGAAGCAGGAGGAAGAGTGCGGAGGAAGCTGGCGAGACGATCTATGCAGCCGCTCTGCAGCAGGACCTCGCACACGCAGGTGACCTGCTCTGCTGTGAAGATCATAGCTGCATGGACGGGTCCTGAGGCGCAAGGTGAAAATATCTTCTCAGGAGAGCGCCAAAGCCTTCCCTCTATGCCCTTGTGTGTGTGGATGAACAAAAACTAAGTAAACTGCATGTGTGTGTAGCATTACTCATCATACCCCGGCACAGGTAACCTGAGACCATCAGGGCTATCATAACACACCATGCATCCCCTCCTTCTCTTGTACAAACACATGCATGCACAAGCTCACACACATTTTGGTCTGACTTGCACGCAGAGTCAGAGCACGATGGTTTCTCAGTAAAAGAACACATTTGAATAAAATTTTCTTGCCAAATTAGAAGCAAAGGTTGTCACCCCCCCTCACTCGCAATAATCTACAGTTCCAAAGTGTGGCGCATGAGGACATCCACAATAATCAGTCTTTTCTGTAAATGTAGTTTATTACAGTATCATGTAATATAAAAAATAGAATGCATTTGAGTACAAAAATGAGAAGACGAGGCACAAATGATCCCTTTGAAAACTCAGAAACAAAAACAAAGCAAAAACACACGACATCTTTGGTTAAGTCTGGAGTCATGAATGTTACACGTCAGGCTGGAGAGTGAAAACCAATCCAGGAACATGTGTGCGTAAGCCATGCAGGCTTTAATGTCAACATACTTTGGTAAGAAATGGCTAATATGAACAAACACAATGAAAACATTTTCCTTTACCCCCCCCCCAAACAAATTTCAACACTCAGCTAAATTCAGGTTGATTTGTCCAAGCTAATGTCCTGGAAGCTGAGCTTGGAAAACCTCACGTTACAGCGTGAATTGATAATGAACATTTCCTATCCACAGCTTCTCCTCGAGGACTGTTTTAAAAACTACTAACTGATTGATGCATGCCTTAAATAGATTAAATGAGACCAACAAACACACACACATTAATGTAACTATACGTGTTTTTCTGATTTTTTTTTTGTACCATAATTGGCCAAAGGTTTGACCGCTTACCTGTGTTATGACAACAGAAAGGTCACACAGCTTTGATCGAGCTGTACTCAAAAATTTAACAATATCTCAAAAACACGAACCACAACTTCCTGATTAATCTTCTTGGCTCCTTATCTTTCTGTGTCACTCTTACTAAGAGACTGTGAAATGAGTCCGACCGCTGTCATAACACCGTGGCAGCGCAGCGTAAACAATATGTGAATGAAATGTGCAAAATATACAACAACAACAAAATAAAAAACACAACTGAACTATGACCACACAACCAAAAAAAGAAAAGACACGTTTGTGTATCACTGAACAAACTCATTCATAAACGTAGACACAAAAGAATCCATATGAAGTGAATCCAGGTATTTGGTTGAGTACATAGCAAATATATATATAGCACGTTTTAGTCAGAACATCAATAACATCAAACGTGTGAGCTTTAAAATAAGGCACTTATAAGTATTAACATGCTGAGATGTTAACAGGAAACATCGCAACATGTTTTAGTGTAATGCTCTGCTGTGCTTCCTTTTAAAAGCTCAGCACAGCTTCTTTTTATCTCCCAAGAGTACTGGCTTTAAAAAAAATTACACTCAGCCACTGTGCGACATAGTGTCTTATGAAGAACTAAACATGCATTGCATAGAGTATAAACCCTTTTATTTCCTCCTGTTCTATATATAGGTTTGTTTGTTTGTTTAAACAAAGGTCAGGCAGTGCTGAATCCTGGAAACTGCAGACAGTTCAATGATAAAAACAACACTACTAACGTGTGGTAATAAAATACTGTCATATAGCCCTTTCAGCTATAATCTAATGTTTGTGTAGATTATAATATTCGCTATATTCCTGGTCAAACTCGTTGCAACTGGGCAACAGATTCAGCCATGCTTGCCCTTAATCACCGACTGTGTTCATAGACTTAACTGACAGAACTGGTGGTCTCGATGTTCGGTGGTCAGATGTTCGGAGGGTGACATCCTGCAGGGTGGGATGAGAATCCGAACCTCTAAGTTAAAAATAAAAGTCTCCACTGTGGGTTTAGGGTGAGTTTGTGTTGTTGCTACAAGTAGCTACACCCTTATTCACTAGGGATTGGGAAGATTTTTTATGCTGGATGCTCTTCCTGACGCAACCCCGAAAGGGATTTGGGTCTCCACCCAGAATCGAGGATCGTTTATTTGTTAGGTGAACCTGTTACACATGTAGGAGTTAAATTATCCTGACGAAAGTGTGGAAGAGGACTGGTGGATGGTGAAAATATGGTGGACTGGTGTGGCGCGAGCAGTTAGGCAGATGATCCAGTTGTTTTGAAGAGAGGTGAGTCCGACTGTTCTGTACACTTCTACTCTACACTGTGAGGAATTAAATATTAGGGATACTTGGGGTGGTAACTGGAAGAATAAGACCATGAGATGCAAGTCAGATTCTTCAAAGTTGGAGACAAAGTGAGAAGGAGCTCAGAGGAGAGCTGCTGCCCTTCTGCTTTAAAAAGAACCAGCTGAAGTGGTTCAGGGATCCGACCAGGACGACTCCACGATTGATCACTGGAAACAGTGTGCTGTTGTTGCTGGCTTGGGAATGTCTTGGTTTCCTCCTGGAAGAACTGAAGTTGATAGCTGCTTAGGCTACTTTCTACTATGACCTGGTCCAGGATGAGTGGGAGATGATGGATGAAGGGATATTGCTGGAGTGTTGGCAGAATATATTCAGGCTGAATTCAGGACAGGGAGGGAACCATTTAAAGATTTTTCCCTTTTGAACAGTGTATCACTGTTGTGGATCTATATCAGAAACCCAGACGTAGTAGAGCTGAGTTAGTCCACAAAACCACAAGAAGGATCCATGACCCCTGACCCCATGACTCACAAGTCTTGGTCTAACATCAAGACTTGTGAGTCAAGCAGATTAATCCTTAAATCATCTGTGCGGATCTGATCTTTTTATAAAAAAAAAAAAAAAAAAAAAGTAAGGCACATACTGATTTTAGTAAAAAATAAAATAAAAAAATCTTAATCCAAACTGAGAGGAGTAATTGAACCAGCAGGTGAATAATCCCATTCATAATAAAGAGAGCTGGAAAATTTCCAGCTAGCACCACAATGGCATCTGGTCTGCTGAGTGAGAATTGCTGCTGTAGGTTATAAAAAAAATATGGTGATCTTATATGATGCATGATGTGGGATAAAAATGTTTCAAGTCATCCAAACAAGACAAACAGATCTGTGGTGTTGAACCAGTTTTAAAAACTATAAGCCCAGCTCGTCATCCACAGGGACAGACTGAAGCTGAGTAAGGATTTTTGATTCTCCATCGATTTCCTCTGGATTCCCAAGTGGCGAGCTGGCTTCCACATCCTGCTCTGGAGAGGGGCTGCCCAGGAGCAGCGACTCCCCACCAGGTAGACCCAACAAGGCTGGGTCCACAGGTAGGTCCCCCTTGGTGCGGACGTCAAACAGAGTTAAACTGGCTGAAGTGGAGAGGGGCACTGGGCTCCACACTGGCTGGGGCATTTGGCTATTTGGTGTCACTCCAGTGTACATGGGGCTGAGCGTGAGCATGCTTTCTGGAGTCAGAGCATTCTGCGTTGTCGGGGTGGCCGTTGGGTCCAGCGGGTGAGGGGAGGGGATTGCGTGCACTTGGCTGGTTTGGATGGGAGTCTCTTGAGCACAGTATGGTGGAGATGAGCTGATGAAGTTCAGGGGAGATGATGCGGCGAGGCTGCTGGGCGTTGGTGTTGAAGGCTGTGAGACTACGGGAAAGGTAGAAGGGTTAAGAATGGGGAGCACTCCATTTGTAGAGATGGTGGAAGCGTCAGGGACTGGTTTCAGGGGCAAACTGGTGAGCTGAATGCCTGCTGGGATGGTCAGAATCAGCTTGCCTTGCTGGACACTCAGGTAGGGGCTACCACCGAGGAGAAGGTTACCTATGAATATGAATGATAAATGATAAACTGGCAACAATCTAAACAATATAACCAGATTCAGCTGATATAAAAAGCAATGGGGCTATATCTTATAAGTGCATGCAGCAATCCAAGTTATAGATCAATACTTTTAATGAGTGTTTTACAGAATGGCATATATATATATATATAATATCATACAGAAACAGAACATGTTTCTGAAAGCATTATTTTCTTTTATGTTTGGTTTTGTAGTGCTATCAATGGAAAAAAAACAAACACTGTACTGATAAATATTCCTCAAATTTTCCCAGGTACATACTAACATGCTGGTAGGTGCTTATATTAAACATGTCCAGTGTTGCACATAATGAGGTCAGAGGATCTGAGCAGAACCACAGGCTTCAGATAGCTTTTCATACTGTTGGCTTTGGATGATGTTATTTAGAATGGATATTCCCTCATGCGGTCATCTCAGCCACACGGCAACCTGCTGTTCAAACTTTTATTTATGAATGGATGCCAATCAGAATCAAATAGATTCAACTTTTCCCCCTATAGAGACGACATTTGAGGACCTCCCCAGTACACCCAATGATAAACTTTGATACCTCAGTATATAATAAAGACGTAGTTTGATGACAATTAGAATAGTTTCTGGGTTTTTCCAAGGGTAGGTGGGTAGCAAAATATTAATCATAACCAATTCTGATTAAGCGAAAAATGTCAATGTCTGCTCGTCTTTGACTTGTGTGACATGTTGTTGATTATTTGCAAGACAAAACCCCCAAAAAACATGTCTGTCATTGTTTTTTCTTTCTGCACCACATAAACAATCAATGATGATCTATTAATCAATAATTAAAAAGATTTTTTTGAGTCCTAAAACATTCAAATGTCTTTGCGCACTCTTTCTGACCAACAGTAACTTCAAAATTTTCACCTTTTCTGACTGTAAATACAATCAGTTCATGTGAATATGAAAAAGAAGTCATGTCTGAGAAGCTGGAAGCAGTAACAAATACACACACATAGATATATGTATATATAATTATTAATCAATAATCAGTTAATTTTCTCTTAGTTCTGGGTGCTACATTTTTTAAATATTTAATGAATTGAGAGTACCTGGAGGGGTAGAGGGTAGCTGAATGATGCCGGAGTTTAGGAGCTGCACCGTAGGGGCCGTGCTGGCTGGAGGAGCTACGCTCTGAATGGGCCTCAGCTGGTTTAACCTGAGAGGAGCCTGTGGGACCCCTCCAGCTGCAGGAGCTGAAGTGAGGATCTGTAATGGCAGACGGGCAGAAGGGATGGAGATAGAAGGACTGGCAGGTACCACCTGTGGGAAAGAGATGGTGGAGGAAGTTTGGATGGAGGAGACTGGTACCAGCTGGGGCACAGAGAGTGGGACGAGCTGTGCCGGTGTGCCACCTTTGGCCTGGGGGACTGGGACGACTTGTGTTGGGGAAGAGATGGAAATAACCTGCGGTGTCTGGATTTTGCTGGGTGTACAGTTTGTGGTCTGCTCCCCCAGTTGTTGCATCACGTGCTGAGGGAGCTGGCTGTTGTTGAGCGGTGAGATGGAAACTATGGTTGTGGCACCTTCAGACATAGCTGCCGAGGCTTCCTGTTGCTGCTGTGCCAGTCTGTTTCCTGTGTTCAGAGTCTGAGGGGTTTGAAATTGAGGCGCTGGTGAGGTGAGGGGGGATACTGGGACCAGCTGAGGGCACTGGGATACCTGGGCTCCCGAAGAGTGCTGAACCAGGTGAGATACTGGTATACCCTGGATGGAAGGCACAACCTGGGGCAGAGAGAAAACCTGAGGGGTGCAGTTGCTGGTTGAAATCACAGAGCTAGGAGGGTTGAGGCTGGTAGAGGGAGCAGTAGCAGAGATGCTATACTCCCCTTGCTCCCCTGCAGAACTGGAGACAAGCATGCCTGCAGATGACAGAGACGCTGGGAGGGGGAGGGAGTCCTGGCGTTGGTGGTTTTGTGTTAAAACTAG